CTGTCACAAAAACTCTCAATAAAATCTCTTGGAAAAATTACAAGAGGCAAAAAAGGTTTTCAAAGGGACTTCACATCTACAGAACATATCAGCACAAATGGTTGCTTCAAGTGATTTAAGAGCTAAACAGGATATGTTTGTTTTGGACAGTATAAAAATCAGAATATAAAGACCAGGGATTATCACACATTCTGGATCTAAATTCCTCCTTCAGTAAAATATTCACCAAAATGAAAGATTGTTGATTTTTCATGTCACTCTGTCAACAAAATTTACCTAATACAGAAAACTGAGGCATATATTCTTGCCATTACTGTAACAGATGTTATTTAAAAAGTGAGCAAAAGGTGAGTCTTTTATAATGATAAATTATAATAAATAAATAAAAAAACTATGCCTCCGTTTGCTCCCAAAATGCTGAATTCAAGGGTTCCATTCAATTTGACTTGAGCAAGAGTAGCCAGGAAGTGAAACAGTCAGCCACAGGTGTTAGCTGCTTCTTGTTCTTTACAGAAACCTCTCAAACAGACCGACCTTTCAACAATTGATGCATCAAAAGATTTTCAAAGGAATCAAACCTCCAAACCTCTTGGCAATCTCTCAAAGAAGTCCTTTGAAACATTAAAACAAACTTTAAAGAACTATAAAGTCTGAAAGTTTTCACTCCTGAGTGCTAAAGTTTAAAGAGTCATATATAGTTTAATTGCATGACTTTAAGTATATACATGCTCCAACAGACACTCTATCACCCCCATCTTTCATGAGAAGTAAAAAAAAAAAAAAAAAGAAGCTGAAAGAACAACATTCCCTCTCTTTTCAATCAGGGAGGTCAGAGTGTTTTTCCTCATTAATCATACATTAATATTCAGATAAACACTGCCTGTTTTTCTAGTTTAGAAAAACAGAACCTTTCTAACTCTCCCTCTCCCTCTGACAGACCGCTCAGACCTGGTTGCCCTTCCCCCGTAGCGTACATAGCCTATCTTAGGCTGTCAAATGGTTAAAAATAACATGGCTAAAAGAGTGTGTGAACAGGTACTCTCTTCTTATGTGCAAATCATGGCTGGGACCCACACATGACAAACTGATACACACCCACACGCACACACCCACCCACCCACACAACATCTACATTAGTACAGTTAGCATGAACCAGCCTACCCAGAATCGCCTTGGTGGCCAAACTCCCAACATGGGTGGATATCCCATCAACATCAACAACCCTTAGAGGGTTTTCTCTTGTGTGAATTGCTCAGTCAAAAGGATCCAGATGTGCACACACACACAAATACACACATGCCTTTATTCTGACTGGACACAGACAGGGAGACTCTGACAGCGTCAGAGACATACACAGACATGGAGCACACACACACACACACAGTGAAATTAAGGGCTAAGAAGATTTAGAAGTTAAAAATAGATAAGGCAGGAGTGAGGAGCTACAGAGCAGTCTACTGCGAACCCTCACAGCAGAGGATACAGACACACCTGTGCAGAAAAACCATTTCCTGCAGCCATGGATTCTGATAATGCCAGATCAAGAAAAGAAGATTAACATTTGGATATAATTTGATATGCTTCAACTTAATCCAAATTTATTTAATAATCATTTCTTTCAGCGCACAACAAGCTCCTCACGTCATGAGCAGTGAAATGCCAAATGCAAAGCTGGCCGCCCACAACTGGCAGATGATCATCAGCTATATATACACACGGCACTCTCACACAGTTAAACACATGTACACACACACATAATACCTTTCTCTATCTGTCTGAGGCCTTTCCATTTACTTCCAATCATTTCCAGCCCATTTGTAGAGCCTAACCAATACAGGTTCAAACCTAACCCTAAACCAGCAAATCCCCTTGTGGGATTCAGGCATCGGGCCTCACAAGGAGCAGTCGGTCCCCACAATGTGCTATTCTTCCAAAGAATGGGCGCCATAATGTATCACAACCAAGAATACACACAAATATGTTTGTATTTCTATTCATACTGGGACTTTACATTGACTTACGTTCATTATAGTTACTGAATCTATGCCTAACCCTGACGTTTACTCTAACCTCAACCATTTCCTGTATATTTCTAATCCCAAACTTAACCTAAAATTAATTCATCCCAGACCTCTAAACTGACTCTAGGCTGAAAAACTTAATCGTATAAATCATGATTATTCGATTATTGAAATAATTATCAACTAATTTAGTAATTGCTTAATTGTTAACTGGAGTCTAGAGACTGTAAAACATGCAAGAAGTTGAAGGAGCAACCCATTTAGAGTAGAAAATATACCTAAATTGTAAAAAATATATACGGTATATAATTTTTTGCTTTTAAGATAAAAAAAAAAGAAATGTCTTTCAAAATGCTCTATCCAGAACTCAAGTGGAAAAGTTTGAGTTCCACCTGGTTTATCTTTGTAAAAAGTTTTCTTTAAGGAATTTTGGGCAATCCGATTATAAATCAAAAAAATAATCAACAGATTAATCGATTTGCTAACTAATTGTTAGTTGCAGCCCTTCACTCTAGCATTAAAAATTGGAGTCTGCCACATGCCACATTAAGACCAGCCTTTAGTCCCCAGAGGGCTTTGGGTCCTCAAAAGGTTAGTAAATATACCACAAATGGTCCTTAATAGATAGCAAAATCTAGTACACACACACACACCGCTACAAACGACTAGATTGTAAAAGTGCATGGCTGAAAAGAAGCTTAGAGCTCACTGTATGTTAATCTGGTCCATTGATAAGACCTGCTGAGCTGCTTTCTGCTCTTACCATCTCACAAAATACATACAAAAAACAGGTGCACACAAAAGTCCACATTCTCAAAGCCAAGTATTAAAACTGACAAACAGCAGAATAAAATAGAAAAAATGTATGTGTATCAATTCAACAATAAAAGCCAAAAGTTAAATTTTTCACCACAAAAATCTGTGTTGGAATTAGAATACAGAGGATGCGGATGTCTGGTTAGCTACAATATTGCATGAAAACATTGATGCTCTCGTTTTTACATGCTGCAGACCTTCAAAGAAATTCAATAATATAAAAAAAAATCTTTAATACCTGAAAAACCATCTTGATTGTCCCATGACTTCTGGTGAGATATTTTGTTTACGTATTAGACAAAAGTGAAACATTTTAGAAGCAAATCTTGTGTAAATCTGAAAATTTTCAGAAACATAAAATCATTGTGACAGTTAGCAACGATTGAACCAAGGGCTACTCTATTGCTTCAGGACCTGCATGGCGTGCCTTAAACGATTGAACCATGCATTCTTCTCTTAACCAAAAGAATTCCTAAGAACAATCACTGACCGTAAGTTTCTGACCTTAGACTGAATCACACTTGGGTTACCCAGCATGATCCAAAGTAAACCAAAGTCGACTTTTGAATGATTAGTGGAACGGAAATAATAGTTTTGGAATTACCTGTTCAAAATCGAGACTTAACTCTAATTAAATTGCTGTGGCTTGACCCTAAACATCCAAGTTCAAAAATTCTTCACAGCTCTAAAACCCTAACTAAAATGCTCATTCGAGAAAGCCCATATTCTTATCTTCAGCTACCACAGCATACATGTCAGATGAGATAATACTATTTATAATTCAGCGATAGTATCAAGGTGCCTCTTTACTGTATCTCTTATACTATATTCATTGGTTGTGCTGTTCTTTTTACGTCTCTCTTTGCAGGTGAAAAAGCAGACAGGAGACGTTTTATTATCGTCTCCCTTTTATCTACTCTTTCTTTCATCTTTTCTCCTTTTTCCTGTTATACACTCACACACACATATACATACATACATATACATATACATTAGGGATGCACGATATAATCGGCCCCCTATCGGTATCGGCCTGTATCGGCCTTAAAACTGAACATCGGACATCAGCCACCCCACCGATATTTAACCCGATATTTGATCAGCTTCTGAGTTTCTAAAGTCTAAAAAAAAAAAAATACTACTTCTTCTTCTTGTTCCTCAAATACTTCTTTTTTAGTGACTTAAAAACTGCTAAAGACGAGGGAAA